TGAAAAGCATTTTAATAACTATTAAGCGTTTCTCTCGGCGCAACAACATTATCTAGAGAATGTGTATTCATTTCACCACGTCTTTAAAGCTCTTGGATTTCATGGCATTACGTTATTACATTTGCGGGCGCGAACATGCGCCCGAAAATCTTGAGCGTAATTGACCGCAATGTTTACCTACATTAAGAGGCAAAACGCAACAAATAATCTTTTGCCTACAGACCTTAGGCGTTAGTTAGATTGAATTTTCTGTTTGCTGAACACATAAATTCTTAAATAAAAGCTGTTAAATGAAAATGCTCTTATAATCGACCCATCAAAGAACAACAGATGCCTCGAGTAACTTAGCATGTCTGTTTAGCTACAATAGTAGTTTTACTCCACGTTGTCCATTAGCAAAGGGAATGAGTTTTGCATCAAAAAATCTTCTAAATAAAAAGAACGACTGACCGCCAAATCAATATATTAAATGAACATGGCCTTGCGTCTGAACAAAAACCCAACACTAATGTCAAGCTTTGGTTGAAAATGTCTAGACGTGTAATGTAAATTTGCAGACATAGGGACATAATCTTACCACGTGTATTAGCATGTGAAAGGAAATTTGCATTAATCAAGCTTCCTGGAAAGTAATACCGCTAGTAGTTTATAAAGGTTTTTTCTCAAACTTATAACCGTCAGGACGTTCTTCACTCTAGTTACAACGCCTAATCGAATATTATTCGGATTAAGATTTTAGTCGACGCTTTTATTAGCCAGACATTGCTGGTATCTTAAAAATAATCACTTTAATCACCTACGAACGGAATGTAACGATTGTAGGAACTGGTAATGAATTTAACACTAATTCCTAACCCATTTCAAAACGTGAGAAACAAATAAGCTTAATGATTTGGTGCCGCATAAATTGAGGAGAACAGATAATGGTAATGATTTCTCATCAATAGTAGAACGCGTAACAGCGAAACAGAATACTTTATGGTCGATAATCATGACCGACAGAGAATGGGTACGCTAGAAGTAAAAAAAAAATTACAAAAAGGAAAAAGAAGGAAATTTCCATACTCTGCAATGTTTAATGTGTGGGGCTGATTTTTGTGATCATCATCGAAGGATGGAAAGCGTATGCACTTTGCCGAAACGGACGAAGAAAACTTGAAGTTTCTCCCAAAGAATACATATTGTTGATCGGCACCAAATTCTAAATCAGTTTAAGTACGTGCCTCCATGCCCATCCATGGAATATTTACAGAAATGAAGCTATCTGCTTCAAATTTGGCAAAAACATTGGAAGTTTCTCTATGTAAGCCAACAGCATCACGTAAACTCCGTTTTTCAAAGGGAATAAAAAATTGGTCTATTGCTCATTACTCATAAAGTAGAGCAGATAAATGTATAAAAAATTGAACTCATACTCAGTGTGGCGTTATACATGCACCTGTACCAAAGTGGAAAAAATTCACCAAGCCTACACAATATTATGTTTCTCAATACCTTTATAAGGCGCGGAAATATGTTTCAAAACCCACATAAAGTGTACAAATTCTTGGACGATCGTCAAATCCGAAATGCACCTAAGCACGTGCGTCTTTCCGTAAACTAAGGTGTTAATGCGACATTGTGTTGCATATGCACCACATAGGACGAATTTTCTATCTTTAGTTTATTACTTATTCCGTTTACTTCAGTTCAATTTAAATAAAAAGAAAAATAAAAAATTTATTTACATGACTGCTATAGCCAAACATTTTAGGATTACTGTCGGCGAACGACAGCGAAGTCTTTGAGAATGATTGTAGGGATTGAAACTCGATATCACTGCTTTTTGTTGAAAATATCGGTTGAAATTTATTTGATATTCGCTATAGACTTGAGCGGACCCAAAACTGATGAAATGAACTTTCATTGTTTATATTTGAATTTACATCCTAATGACACAAAAATGAGTAAAGTAAAAGCGACTCATAGCAAACGAAACAAAAAGTTAACAAAAAAATCAAAAGACAATGCCATAAAAACATCGCTGACATATTTATACTGCTCTGGACATAAGCCGGTTTTTGTGTTAATATGCAAATTTGGCGAAATTTATGCGTTACCAATAAGTTAGTTTGAAAAATGTGATTTATTCAATGAAAAATTGTGCACACTGTGCATAGCGTATGTAATGTTTCTGAAGCTGCTGAGTTTGATTTAACATTCATTCTACTTTCATGTGAAGTACATGTACACACACACACACACACACAAAAATGATTAAAGCTATGCATGCAGCACTATTGTATAATGAAATGAATTCTACTTTGAATCAGACTACATGACAGCGTCGCATTAGCATTGCACAAGCTTTCCACAATGCAAAAGAAAAAAAAGAAAAAAAACTGTCTGCGAATGATGAGAAAATACAAAGATTTGTAATAAAAATCACACTTATTTATCATCCTAAACTCTAGTACATTTCTCGAAACAATCGATTCGCTAATATTGAGGTTATGTCAAGAGTTGCTCTGGAATCATTCAAAAAGATGACATTTAATCTCAGAAATTTTCCAATGTAGTTTTTATTTGAATGATGTCAGTCAGATCTTTGACCAAATCAAAATATTTGTGTTTTTGTTTATGCATATGTTCGGAAGCTCTGAATTTTTTTTTTTTTTATTAATACGATCGATCACTCAGGGGATGTCGCCTATGCGTGTAACTCGGCGACGATTAGAAAGAAGTGAGGGAATGGTAGCTGCAGCCTCATTGGGGGCGCGCCCAGGCAGTCTTATGCCTTTACTTACTGAGCGCCCGCTGTACTTACGATCCATGTAAGCTCTATCGTACTTGAAATTTGAACCCGCGATCACTGGCTTGATAATCACGATTTGTACCCAATTCGCTACTCATGCGAAGCAATTTCGGACTATGTGAAACTCGTTGAATGTTATATGAAATGAAGTGCAAAAATATATACGATATTTAATAGTTTTTTATTCCAAAAATCTTATTTCTTGAAGGTATAGATCAGCTGTAATAATATCAGCGATAATATTAGTAATCGTTGTAAGACTAATTGAGGATCAAAGGAAATACGACAAGTTATACGATTTTGGAATTCAAGCAGCTTGTCACTGGAACGTAATAGTGAGAGAAATAATAAAAGAGAAAATGTTATTTATATGCTTTTTATGTAAAAATTTCTTTTCGGTGATCATAGTGGCCTTTTGGGTCGATTTTCATGGTTTACAAACTTAACAAAGATTAAACGGCTATAGTAAGAAAAGACTTAAAGCGAAGTTTCTCTTTTAGTAGATAAAGTTCTAAATTCGTTATAGTAGCTTGAAAAGAAGGACCGATGGACTGATTTAATGTTAATTGGATTGTACCTTTTATTCTGAAAACGATAATTACAGGCCCTTCTTATAATGAACCCTTTTTTTTTTGTAATATTACAGTCAATTATTAGGCCGGTTTTTAAAAAACTCCCTTAAAGAAAAATGCTTACGTTTACCTCGTTTTTGAGAGGAAACCTTAACTAAGAACGGCGCTAAAGCAAAAGATTTAAAAGAAAGTTTCTCTTCTAATAGCTAAAGTTCTGAAATCGTTTTCATGGTTTGAAAAGAAAGACCGACGAACTGCCTTAATGCTAATTATCTGCTTTCACTCTAATGCCGGACATTACATAAACAAACACAAGACACCCTTTACTATCTCCCCTAATTAAGCACCCTTTCGGACAGCAGCAACGCCTTTGATCCGGGCTGAATGAATTAAAATAAATGTGTATCTCCTCCTTTCTCCCACATGCTGTGTGTGTGTATGTGTGTGTTTGTGGGTCTCTAAATAAAACTTGCCTTTTTTTTACTCTTCTCTCCTTCCTGTTTAAGCCATTTTCCCTGAAACTAAGTTTTTCGTCCCTCTTTGCAAAAATTCGATGCAATTTTGTAATTCCTATTGTTGCCTTTCAATACGAATAAATTTTTGTATAAAAATATTTCCATTGTATTTTGTTAACTCTTTTTTTGTCAGAAGTCTTGCCATACGTACCGATTGACATAAATCCAATAAAATCCATTGTTTTTTCATAGTTAATAAAAGAAACAAAGAAAATTGTTTTGTCGTCGTCGTTGTCGTCGCTGACTTTCAAAAGTCAAAGTATTTAACATTTAAAACAACATTTAATATGTTTAAAATGTGAAATCATTCCCGCCTGCAATAAAAATTTGTTATCCTTGTAAGAGACCTGTGTGAACGCCTCTAGATTTCGCAAAAACATTAAATCATTTCAACACATTTAAACTTTTGCTTATCAAATTAATTTTCCAAAATGCCAACACCCATGAGATTGTTTACCAGGACAATAGCAACAACAACAGCAACAACAACAACAGCAAGAGTAAAAACGAAAACAAAAAAAAGAAAAATGGAAATGAAAATGAAAATAGAAAAGGAAAACAGGCCATAAAAAGGAAATTTACATTGCATTACACATATACACACTTACATATATATATATATATATATATATATATATATTTACTCCCTCTTATATATGTATATATATATATACTCACACACACACACCCACACATGTTTATATATGTAAACTATTTCACACTAGAATTTTTATAAAAAAAAAAAAAGAACACGAACACACAAATACATATACATATGAAATTCAATGTTAACTTTAGCGAAATGTAAACAAGATAAACGAGAATCGAAAGCAACAACTATAGCAACGGCAATGTCTAATGCAGCAGCGCATTTTATTAGCTGCGTAGCGAATGTGTTATTTTTATTGTTATATTATAAACATTTACATACATACACACACACACACGCACACAATGCAACCACCCATATTCATAAATATTCACGCTATTATCTATGTCATCATCTTTATAATTCGTTTAATTTTCATAAGAATTAAACTAAAACGATGGGAATAACTTGAGTTTAGATGAAAAGGAATCCTCCCTACTTGCATATATATATGATTATAGATATCTTACCTTAAATTGTCGATACGTGGTCTTCGACTTTGGGGTCGATTACGCCTATGGCTACGATCCTTTTTGCAACGGCAGTCACAGTGCATCACACATAAAGCGATTGATGAGATCATTGTTATCACAAATGGTATCGCAAAGAAATGTATTATCATATTAACTTGATCGTCATGATTGTAAGATGTCATAACGACCGTTTTATTTTTACGTGAATAATAACATGGAAATATTGCACCCGGTAAACCATAGAATGCATTAAATTTACTACACGTTACCGTTGGCGGATAACCGCAACCTTTGATATTAACTAACAATGTCGCCTCATCGGATTGCTCCCATTCGGCTGTGTAATTTGTAAAGTCAGTCATATTTTCCGGTATTGTTATATTTTGCTCAATAAACGTCACATAGATATGAACACAACGATATAGATCCGAGGTGCAACCCTCGCGACATGAACTCCACGAACAATTAAATATACCGATAAGATTTTCGCGGCGCGTTGTTGTACAAAGTGTTGGCTGTTCAATGAAATCGTGACTTAACGTTGATATCGCCGGATCCACATAAAGCGGAACAAGAAATAGGAGTGATGCGCCCGCTGTCACCGAGAAAAATGCGAGCGTGGATGTACTATAAAAGCGGACACGTTCGCGCCACGAACGAAACCGCCGATTGCCATTTTTCTTTTTTGGAGCCAGTTCTCGTAATTTACGTAACCGTAACTCTTGTTGTTGCTGCTCGAGTAATAATTCCGAACTGCCACTCCTCATATTATTGTCCGTGCACACAGGGCGATTTTTGTAGGCACCACCAGCAGTTGATGCAGCAGCAACGTTAGCAGCGCAAACGGCACAACCACCAGCACCACCAACACCACTGCCACTAATAATAGCTGTTGTAGCAGCAGCAGTAGCAGCAGCAGCAGGTTTAATTTTACAAGTAACACTATCGCACGAACAACGCGCAAAACGATGCGAACTACTTACAATATCTGCCGAATGGGTGGTATTTGGTTGGTTAATACCGACGACAGTGTGCTGACTGAAGGAAGTAGCTGTATACGACGACGAAGATATGGTCGATTTGCTTGTGGGAGTAATAATGGCTGAACTGCCGATGAAACTTGCAGCACCAACAGCAGAAGCAGTTGTAATAGTAGTAGTCGCTGTAGTAGTAGTAGTAGTAGTAGTAGTGGTAGAGATGCTAGAAATGGGTAAAACTGTGATGATGTCGTCGTCGTTGTTATCAATGACCGAGTTTCTAGTAATTTTAGCGAGAGATGTTGTCGTTTTCGTTCTACTGATTGTTGTGGTTCTTGTTGTTATTTTTGTTGTTGTTGTTGTGGTGGTGGTGGTATTGATGGTGGTAGTGGTGGTTGTGTTGATTGTGGTGGGAGTAGTAGTAGTACTAGTAGTAGTTGTAGTAGTGTTAGTGATGTTTTCAATTTTTTTGTTGCCTTCTTCAGTTTTGTCGTAGGCGTCGGCGACGACGACGACGACGTTATTGCTGCCGACTGCACGGGGAACAATACGATGAGCAGCAGCAGCTGCAGCAGCAGCAGTGGCGGCCGTAGCGTCAGAGACGCAAACGACGTCGTCGTTGGTTTCAATTTTTGTAGCTTGTATGTTGCCAGTGTTACAAATTTTAATGTGTTTATAAAACAAAATTTAAAATTAAATAAAAAAATACCAGATTTTATTGAGGCTTATAAAAATTTCATAAGCAAAAATTTTCCTTAAGCCACATTATTATATGAATTAATTTTTCTCGTTTTATCTGTAATAATAAAATGCACAACAACAACAAGAATAACGTATTAGAGATAAACGCATAACACGTACCCGTACCGAAATTTGCCATAACAGCTTTTTTGTTTTTTTTCTGTTGTTTTTTTTTTCATGAAATAACGTTAAATAGAATACGAGAGAAATAATAATAATAATAATAGTAATAGCAATAATAACAATAATAATAATAATAAAAGTCACTTTATATCGTTTTGTTTGATATTTTTTCTTTTTTTTTTTTTTTTTGTTAATAAAAGCAATAACACGCTGAGTATCCGTAAATCACAAAGTTTATATGTATATGACTGCGCTGTGGCGGGCGGCGTCATTCGAATACAACTACACCGTTACGTTACTAAAACGGAAATACATCCTCACACTTGACGCTATTTAATGTTACAGAGCAAGCACGCATACACACATATATAAAAAAACACTGTACGATTAACATGAAAGTCATAAGTAATATCTTCTCAAAAGAGGCAACAGAATGTCAACAAAGGCAAAACAACAAAATCAAAGAACTCATTCACTCAAAGAGTAAAAGAGAAATAAGTTTAATGAGAGAGAAACAACCTGAAGAGAGGGTATATATTACATCTATGCATAATGCCTTTGCGAAGTTTATAATTTTAGTATGCGATGGTGTCATATATCAAATAAAAAACGAATATTTATTTATCGAAAACTGTTTCGTAGACATATTTTTATTTATAAGGAAGAGGAAAAGCCGTTTATTTTCGATGTGTTTCTCGTTTGATCTTCGCAGAGGCGAAAATGTATCGAAACTGTCGCTTGTGGAGCGTGACTCCCCTAAGCAAAAATGTGATCGAAAAATTCTGCTGCTGTCGAATGCGACCAGCACTCAATGACTAAAAGGACAGAGCTTAACTTTCCAACATAGATCGATCAAGCGTTTACAGAGACATTTAGGAAAGTTTTAGCTCCACTTGCGATCGCGGCTGTACAGCGTATAAACTAAGTAACAACCGAAAGAGAAGATTGAAGAGAAATCATCTATTGGCTACTCTCGCCTACTACGATTAAGAGGAACGTTTGGAACTGGATTGCATCCACAAAAAGTCATAGTCTCTATATTATGAGCCGCCATCTCTAAATCAAAAGATTAATTTTTTTTTCACTCGGAAAATGCCACCAATTCGTGTAATACGGTTACAGTCGGAAAGAAGTGGGGAAAGAAATAGGTAGGTGGTGACCGCAGCCTTGCGTGCCCAATCGGTAAATGTTACTTCGTTACCAACTGAGCATTCGCTATAACTACGACCTAAGTAAGCTCTACCACTTTCGAGATATGAACCCACGAATACTGACTTGGTAGTTACGATTCTTACTTTCTCGGCTACGGATATGCGCACATTTGACCATGTAGTGATTACAACGAACAAGAATAACTAATCAGAAGCGTCTCGGATTAGCGAACATGAAACACAGTTGGATGCCAGGAAAATATTGAACGACAAGTTTCTCTAAGAGCTCTATAATTATATAAGTTAATGCGGCACGCACCTTCGCGAAAATGTTATTTACTTCGGCAGCAAGAAGTTTGTTTAAACAAGTGAAATCAATATTCTGATCCACCACGAAAATGTCAGAAACTTTACATTTTTCAAGACATTGTGGCTTAGTTATGATATTTTTAGACGAGTCCACAAGCGGTCCAAATCAGTTTTCTAAACGTTCAGGTTAGTGCTTTTTCCAGTTGTTACAAAGTAAATTAATAAGAAGCCGACCAAATGGGAGACTAAGGGAATATTATATATACACCGATGATATTTTAACTCGAGACGCTACTTTGCTCTACGAAGTAACATAATAAATACTGGGGTGAGATGACGAAGAATCCTTGAACAGAATAGGATTCATTTCCTTACTTAAACTTAACATTACTTCGCTTTATGGAGTAACATAATAAATATCGGGGAGAGAGGATGGAAAGTCCTTGAACAGAATAGGATCCATTTCTTTGATTAAAATGGTTTTTTGTTATTTTTACTTCAAATTTGCTCAATTTTCGCCATGGAATTATGCATAGACGCAATAAGAGAAAAGGAGAGAATTTATTGAAGAAAAAGCAAAAAAAAAAAAAAGAACGACATTAACACCCGCATATTTATACGTATCTATAAGAATGATTTACACGAGTAGCGCCTGCTCACTGAACACACTTAATGACACCGTATTTTCAATCGTTAGTTATTATTATTATTATCATTATTATTATAAGGTAAAGAGAAAATTTGAACATCTTCTTATAAAAGTGGTCTTCAATCAGCTGTTTGCTGTTGGTTGACTTTGTTTTTTTTTTTTTTTCTTAGTTTTTATTTTTATTACTTTTCCTTTTTTTTTGACGGTATTTTCTATACATGTTTTTTGGGTGTAGAGAAAAAGGAACATATGAGACTCGAATATGAGAAAAATGCAAAGGCAGCTGATTTTTATTTTCACATATGTGAGATAATAAAATATTTATATTATTCACTTTTTTATCCAATTTCCTTGCCTTTTTTTTACCGAACCTATGATTGATGCTTTAGTGAGGTTAATAGAATAAATTGCGTACCGGTAATTATTTATTAAAAAAAAAAAGAAAAAAAAAAAACATATTTTTTTTTCATTTCGATAATTTAATTCTTTAATAGTTGCGGTTAAAATAAGGTAAAGTGTGAGAAAGAGATGGAATTATGTTGATGTAGGTTAAGGTGAAAATCAGGCCATTTACATATATATAGCGAAAGCTTTCATATAACTATACAAAAATTTACTGCTTAACTCTCTTCCTGTTATAGCTATACTTTATGCTCTTCTCTTTCTCTCTCCATCTCTCTCTTGCTCTTTCTCCCACTATCTTTGCTTTTCTCACTCTCACTCAAATGAAGAATTGTATTTTATGAACTCTTTAATGAAAAATCTCCTTAAAAATAGTGGGAGGATTTTTTTCCTTCTCAACTTTAATATCTATATTTTAATACTTTCAACAGCAGCAGCAACAACAACAACAACGATAACAAAAATAACCACAACAATAACAACTGCAACAGCTATCACAAACATTATTAAAAATTCATAAGCAATTGAAAATTTTGTTAAAAAAAAAAGCAAGACAAAAAAAAAAAAAATAAAAATCAATAAAATATATTAAATTATTTACAAAGAGAATTAATTATTTTATAAAAAAAATTAAAATTTAATTTAAAATAAATTCGCACTTTTCATAATTTCCAGGAAATACTACAATAAATCGACGACAATAAATCATTTCTTTATTGTTAGTCATTAACTTTAAAAAAAAAAAAAAAATTATTTTCTTTTTAATTATCGTGAAAAATTTTTTCTTTTTTGTTTTTTTTATTTATATCCTACACCACTTGTGGTTCATTAACTTTGTACAGGTGCAGGTAAAACCCACAAGGACTTGAAACAGATCGATTCAAGCTTGTCCGTCCGTCTCTTCGTTTTGTTTTTTTTCGCTCAATCTACGGGCTGTCATTTGTTACACTAAAATTTTTTGGCCTGACGGACGAACGCTATGAAAACTGTTTCGAATTGGATCAGTGCTTCTCATTTGTCATTGTTGCTTGTCGTTATACCGGAATACGTGTTGGTTGGTGCTGACTGTTAAATGATGGGCTATGGCCCACTACTATCTTTTCATTTGTTTTTAATTAATGTTCTGTCAACGGTCAAAGCCATTGTTGCTTTCCCATTGATCTATAAGTAAAATATAAAAAAAAAATAGTGAAATTTATTTCAAAATATTGCGAAAACATTTATCGAAATCTCTGATGCATATAAATTTTAATTATTACATATATATATATAACGAAAAAAAGCGTAATAGCCAAAAAGGTGAAAATGTCACAAACCCACGTACAAATTTATTGCCAAAAAGGCGAAAATGTCGCAAACCCACATAAAAACTTAATGCCATTTCCGAAATAAATACCATAATAAAATCGAAAATTTTAATCTCGTCCTCGCTTTAACTTGTTCACTTGGCTACTGTGGAGAAAAAGCGAAAACATAGCGCGAATTCACAAAATCTATGTGATGCTTACGAAACTCGGGCTTCCAACAAAAATCTAAGTTGCGAAACAGACGTATGGTCTTGGGCACATTCCCCCCGCAAAAAAAAGCTTTAACTGATTCTGGTTGACCTTTCTGAGCTGATTTTCATCCAGTTACATTTTTTTTTTCGAAAATCTTTGCTCTCGGAATTTGAACAGATTGCATTCCTATGTAATATCGCGGCAAAGGGCGAATATTTATTTTGCCTATGGATCTTCATTCTTTCTACTCATTTTCAATTAAAAATTTCACAAACGAAAAGAAATTTGTCAGACTAAAGCTAAAGTGTTCAAACACCAGCATCTAACCCTATCGGCTTTCTTGAAAACTCTACCGCACTTGGGCCTATGACCGTTGAGTTGTTAATGTAAATAAATTCCACTCCCAGCCTTAGTATCTCGATAAAGGCTCCACATCGTTAAACCTAGATCCTTGCCGCGTTTCCGCCATTTTTAAATAATTTTCGGATTTTACCCTCG